ATTAATATACTTACTTTAAGGAACTCTAAAATAGGAAAATTACAAACTTATAAAAAAGACATTTATCACAATTATTTACTTTAAGATGTTTTATCTTCAAAAAAATATTCACCACAAAAATACTACATAGCAAGCTCCTAAGAGTTGCATTTTAAATAACTGACTTTGCCCTGACCAGTGTGGCTCAGTTGGTTGGAGCATCATCCCATCCACCAGAAGGTCACAGGTTCAATTCCCAGTCAGGGCACATGCCTAAGTTGTAGATTTGGAACCTCGCTTGGGGCTCATGAAAGAGGCAAGGCAACAGAGCAATGTGTCTTCTCTCCCACATCTATCGATCTACCTCTCCCCCTCCCCCCGCCCCAAATAAATAACTGATTTCACAAAAATTTTATTTGTACACCTTAATTAGCTGTCTTGCCAAAGGTCCATCCACTGGGATTTTGTTATTATACTTGGGTGTCTGTCCTGGTGAAAAATCTTCCAAAAAGCCTTTGTTCTTTAGTTGAAAAGGAATCTGTCAGAAAACCATGTCGCCAATACCCAAAAGTTCATATTCAGAGTAATATAATTTTGAATTTGTTGTATACATTTTGTGCAGACTCATGTTCTTACCTCCTTATCAGCACCTCACCTTCCAACCCCACCTTCAACCAATCCAATCTAAGGGAATCCCCCACTTACTCATCAAACAACCACCGCCTGTGGTTAGTCTAATCTTAACTTTATTCCTAAACCTGTACCAATTTACTATTCAGTGAAGCTAGAAATTGAGAACAGGCTGCGTGGTTTTAAAGAGAGGCTAGTTATCCATCAGAAAAATCTAGACATATTAACACTCAGAAAATTTAGGATGAAAACTGAAATTCTCCAATTCACTTCATTACATTAATTCTACTTATAAGATTGGGCCACACACGTGCACAAAATCACCACCGCAGTGCCAAGAATGTTTTACAGAAAACACAAGCTCTTTATAGACTATGAGTATATTTTATTCTCTATGTGGCATAATCTGAACTCAGATGTTTGTACTCTAAACCTGTGGCCCAGAGTGGGGAAATGTGGATTAATTATGGGTTGCAGTTTAAGTCTGTTTAAGTATGACCCAAACTGAAATAGAAGAAACAATAAGGTTATGACTGAGAAATTCCCTTAAGTGCTTATGATAAATTATCACAATTTGTATACAACAAATTCATACATACTCAGGAATAAACCCAGGCATAGTATTTTTTAAAGTACAAGCATGACCAACATAATTTTTAAACATAAATTTAAATTATATTTACAGTAATTCTACATGGCTGAACAATATTTGAATTTTACCTGTATAATCCCTAATGAAGCAATTGCCAGGAAACCAGGTGTACAACTCTGGTTGTACAACTATATCAGACATGAAATGAAACAGCTTCCCAGACAGGCAAAGTGCTCTGGGGATAGCTTCTTGCCATGTGACATTAAGCACACACACACTTCTCCTTATCGACTCAAGCAGCAACAGCAATGGCTCTGCTCTCCTTTGCCTGTTCTTTTAAAGTCATCCATAAGAAAGTCTCTCTTAGAAAAGAACTGCTATTTCTTCCCATTTAATCCCTATAATATTAGCTTAAAACTAGGAAAAGCATCATGCTCTTCTTTCTCTCAGTGCACAAGGTGTCTACACTTCAACCTGGTACTCAATGTTACAAACTCCCATAACCTCAAAGGAGTCGGTGTCCAAACTTTTAGAAATTTTGCCATTACAGAAAGCAAGTATCACAATAAAGAAACCACATGAATTATATGGTTTCCCAGTGCATATGAGACAACAATGAAGTTTGCCTCATCAACTGTCTCTTCCTTTCACAAACAATATGCCTGTAGCATGCAATGCTGTTTGATAGCATTTTAAGCAAAGTGGAACTTCTGTAAAAACTTGCCAGCCCTAGCCAGTCTGGCTCAGTGGTTAGAGTGTCAACCCACGGACTGAAGGGTCCTGGATTTGATTCTGGCCAAGGAAAAGTGCCTCGATTGCAGGCTCAATCCCCAGCCCCAGTCCACGCACGTTTCTCTCTCACATCGATGTTTCTCTCTCTCTACCCCTTCCACTCGCTTTGAAAAGCAATG